TTTTATTTATTTTCTCAAACTGTTCAATTTTAATTACGTATAATTTTACTATACGTGCTCTATAGTGTAACATAATATTCTGTAGGCTGTTATTAATTTTGTCTTTAAGTTAATGTAAAACTTTCATTTTATTGCAATCGAATAAATCACGTAATGTATTTATGTAATCTCGTAATGTAATGTAATGTAATCGTATAGTGATTCATGCATTGTGTGTATACAGTTGTACAGATACTTCACTAGGATCGATGATTTTATTAGTCATCTGCAAATTTCCAAGCGCTTTAGCCCCATCTTCACTTTCATCACTGGATAATGATAGCACCCAGATTATTGCTGTTGATCTCTCCCATTTCTTGTGCTACGGAAGGGAATAATGTTTTGCTAGGGTTCTTATACGGACGGTCAGTTGTAAGATGCAGAATGTGTGAGTAAAATTCAGGAACTGGATCTAAATGGAAGCTCACAGAGATCAAACCAGACTCAATCCAGCCATTTACCTCCGATATTTCTCTGGTCAGAGGCTACTGGCATCCCTATATGAAGACGTCTAATACTACTATCTCGCAGAGACCCTGCTAATTACACTTGTAGGTACCATCAATGCTTACGTCATCGGAAAATCGACGAGCTATATTTTCCGATCTAATTTTGAAACGAAGTAGCATCACAAATAGTCGATCACTTCACGATGCACCTGTAGTGTCGGTTATTAAGTTAAGCCCATATAATTTATTTTAGCTTTCGGACAAGCTAATCTATTCATTCTACTTATGTCACATTTTGACCTTGTTAATTATTTGTTTATCAATCTTGACTTTTTATATGAGCGCATATGTGTGTGCCCTTCTTATCTTATTCATCACATGTATGTGACATATTTTTGTGGGACTATGAATGTTGATTAACACTTGGTTAAATGGAGTTGGCTTGCCAGCCATCTCCACTGCGCGTCGTTTCGTTTCGCTCTTTTCTCTTTGTCTGGATCAAAGATTGTAAGAAATATACTTGTCCGAAATTCATTTTCATATTTGACTTATTGAATCCCGTTATTGATTAACGTGATTTATGTCGATGATTATATACGAGGATAGGCGACATGTACATTTCGAAAGAAATCATTTAATAACAATCATTCATACGATCTACTTGGAGTCAGATCTCGGGTCACTAAACGCCTCTAAGCTCAATGATGTATGTAGCTAACGTTTTAATAGTCAATACTTGGTAGAGACAATAACCAAGTTTGCAATAACATGGAAGTTTCAATCGTTCAAGTAACAGTTACTGAACCTTGGACGCTTATTTCCTAACCGCAATTCGCATACACGAAAATGATAACGCCGAAAGCTGCAGCTCCGGACATCACAAACAACAAAAGCTAAGATCAGCCTCATAAGTGATACGCAGCAGCCCGTTACTGCAACAGATTGGCCAAGTGAATACTGCATAAAGTCTTCCATCAGCCGAATAAATATATAGGATTTACAACCACTACGAAGAGGCCGTATAGACCAATGGATAAAGAATTTACTGCGCAAAAAAAATCGTGTCGCTTCAGAAGTTGTTGGACGCTGAGTGCGATACTTCCTGTTGCATACATATTTTATGTGAAAATCATTTCGATTTCGATGACTTTATCGTATTATGAAATGGAAAATGTCGCATCATCGAAAGCTTTGAGTAGTCTCAGTAGTTCCGCCTCCATCGTATATTTTGCAGCAACAAACATCTCTTTAAAAATCAAATCAGCTTCAACGGCGCTGTCTACAACCGATATTACTGAATCAAATTCACGACGTTTATGGGCGTTTATGGATGGGAATATAAAAGCAGGAACTTCAACGTGTCAGGTGTTTCTGGGCTTGAAGAAGCATCATCTTAATTAACGTAACTGTATAGAAACCCTGGACAAGATTCAAGAAAGGAAGAACAAGAAGTTATCAACCAACAAAATCCGAACAAGAACAGAAGAAGTCGAGGCATAGACCGAATACATTGGTGCGAACATGCACGTGAAGTGGAGCATTAGATTCAACGAGCGGGAGTACGTGGAAGATCTACGAGCAGATTATCCCTACGAACGATCATATCAACATATTTTATTACAAAGACTTGTAAAGATTTAAACATTTATCCGTCGGATATTTTCAGTGGTTTTAATGTTTTTGCTTATGAGTCATAAAGCATATGAAGGTGAGATGTTGGAGAAGATTTGTAGCTCAGGTGGATGATTTTATTAGAGTTTTGTTCTCTGAGCTGGATGGTTTGGACGTGGAGTTTTCATCGTTCTTCTGAAAGATATCATCATCACAAACTTCAGATAGAAGTCTATCTGAAGTTTATCTGAAGCCTGTGCTGATGATGTCGTTCAGAAGAACGATGAAAGCTCCACATTCAAACCATCTAGCTTAGAGAACAAAACTACAACAGCATATGAAGGTATTCTTTAACTAACATAAAGTATCAGAAATTTTCATGCATTGAATATTCAACCTCCGTGCCAATTGTTTGATTAAAGTATTTAAATTTTCTTGATGTTCATTCATGTCTCATAAATGCATAGACTGACTATTTAGTTCCCTTTATCTCAAATAGTTGCCTTAAAAAACTCATTTCTCAACGTAAAACTCTTAATTCAGTAATCTACACAGTCATACTGTAAAAAATATGTGAAATTTTTAAACTTTCACGTACTACTAAAATGTCAGTCGGAGAATAATGATATGACTTTCATGGAAATAAAGGCTGAATTAGGATTGAGTTAAAAGTACATAGTGGACTAGTAAAAAGAAATATGAGAATAAACCGTAACATCAGTGATTATTTAACTATTCACCGAAACGTGTCAAGATCTCACGAGAAGATTCTTCGATTCAGAACGAATCACCATCAGAACAAAACCGTGTTTATCGATTAAATTGTCAGTAAAAGGATTTATGAAGATTTTCATATTTCCACGGTTGAATTTACGAGTTAATCTAAGCTAGAACACCATTAAAAACTTGGAAAAATTTCGTCCCACTGTGGGAATCCTCAACAATGCGCATACGCGATCCCGTAAGCGGGACTCTAACTCAAGACCTTCATATATATATATATATATATATATATATATATATATATATATATATATATATATATACGTATTCTGCACCTGAGAATCAATAACCACAACAAGATAGGATCCAATATTTATCTTTAAGTATTCGAGTAACTGTTTGCAACAGTCGATGGTTGACAATCCTCCGCCAAACCACGCCTTAATCTTGAGTTCAATCAAACATGATCTTATTTTTGTTGACTTGTCATAATCCAACAACCAAACTATATAATGGAGATATAGATTTATCGAAATCCAGTAATAAAGACATGAATATGAAAATCAGAATTGTAAGATTACTGAACAAAAGTTATGATTAAAGGAATAATAATATTGTACAATAATTCACTTTACAATGATTTTCGGTTTTCTTCATGTTACAACATTCACCATAATACTTTCAGGTAAACAAAGATACTTTCAAATACATTTAGTCACGGCTCTCTTACCTACTTACGAAATACCTTCAACCACAGACATAAATGTATTTCTATGTGTTATCCACATTGTTGTCCGTCAATTTTTTGAATCAAGTTACCTACTTCCACTCATTATTCTGATCCTCTATAATTCTATTAAAATCATAAAAAGAAGCGTTCATTATAAGTAAATCTGTTGTGTGTCAGAAACTGTGATCCTTTTTTAGCAGAAATTTCTGAAAACCAAAAACCAGACTTGTCAATCGGTCAGTCAGATACAACGTAAGACCTAGCACATATATTCATTGGTTGGAGTTGCCATACCGCATTAGCATTACAAGATGAACACTCAATTCATAGAATTAGTTAATTCAATGGTGGTAATATATAAAGGAAAGACTGTATATAACAATATAATACAAGAAGAAGAGATTAGTTGACAGAAAGAAAGATATGGAGCGATTTTCATCTCAGTTTAAAGGAAGACAAAGAGTGTATACACCTACACCATTGTGATCGATTCTAAGCTATGTCACTCAGAGTTTCCAACCATTGATAACGATAGTCACGCGGACCCCAACCAAGTAATTTCCATCTATCAACAAAGCTAAGACTAAAAAACTTGACAATGTTCCATATGTGTCAAACAATATAGTACAATTGCATTTATAAGATGATATATTATTATTAATATAAAACTATTATTATTAAGTGATGAAGTATTAACTGATTGATCTATTTTGTATTCATTTAACCTAAAAACAAAATGTGAATACATTATTTTAACATTTGGTAAACTAGAGCAAAGTTAATTGGTGGAAGTGTAAAACATGGAGACAACCGTATGTATTTGAATACAAAATTACAGAATATCTTAGTAAAATCTGAGAACCATAGAGTAAATGCTGCATTTGCATAATGTCAATCAATTGTCTCGAACTTGACAATTCCTTTAGCAAATATCAGTGAATCATCTCAAACTTTATTGTTCCTGCATTTTCATACAATATTGCTTTATGTTGCCGTTCATTCCTCCTAGATCTATTTAAGCTTCTGCTGCCAGACATTCTCTTCTTAACTGGCGACAAATACTACTAACGTTAATATAAATAGCACACATCACACATATCCACTGATAAACAATTATTAAGCTTCTCTTTCATTCCGATAGCCGAAAATATACTGTCAAAACGAATAATCTATATTACATCTTGTAGACCTCTGATACTTAATAGTTGGACGTTCAGTAAAATGAATGGTAAGGTCTAACATTATAGTTATACAGATTTACAATTAATAATTTGATTGTTCAGCAAAATCCACGATTAACATCACCATGTCATCAACTATACAAAAAATATGGATAAATAAGATTATATTTTGATCGGAAAGTACAGTTAATTTCGTAAAAATGACTTTAGAACTTGAGTGCCAATACAATCCAAAATTCTGTCCGACGTTTACGTAGCACAGCAAGATCATTTAATAGTCTCAAACATATTAGAAATATCAATATCATGAAACATTTGACAACTACTGAGGCCGCTAAAATGAAGCATTATTAAAAGTTTACCGGACTAAACATGGAGACGAATAAAATTAATTAACTATTTTGTTTACACAAGACGTTTGAGAAAAAACTTACGGGTGAGTTAGTTGTTCCAGAACCTTGTTTCTATAAGAATCAATTTAATAAAACACATCTGATGACATAAATCTGCAGGAATACAGATTTCTTACGTGAAAACTCACTTAACATTCAAAGGTTTGATTATCGAGAACCGATTTATATTTTGTAATTGATTCAATTGATACAATATGTTATTGGTGTATCATTAGTAGTAGTTTGATGAATTAATATGGAAAATGGAAGAATCGATTGAAAAATATAAATCAGTTTTCGATATTCAATGACACAGTATGTTATTGGCAGCCTCTAAATGCCCTGGTACAGCCAAGAGTGGTGAGTGTCATTTCCCAATCTCGAAATATTCTCACATGGCCACGTGCATACAACCACTGCCAGTGATGTCCTACCAACCCTCTTCTCGCACCATGGGTGTTGTTTACGTAATTGAGTGGACTAAATGGCGTTGTCCGGCACATTAACCGGCTTGGTGGACACGGAGAATCCACATTGGGCATTTGGAATACCATTATTACTAAGTATTGATGTACATATGCTCCAGGATACTGAAGGAACAAATGATGTATGAATCAACCGTTGATCACTGGCTACCATGGGACTGCATCTTATTACGTTGCTCCACTGCCTTATGAATGAGATTTTTCGGTCAAAGGCTCTGAGTGTGGCTCCCTACGAAAACCACCTGCTTCGATTTTGGCACCTGGGGAGTATCATAAACCTCACACAAATCGAATGATTTATGTGCGAATATCTATTTGGTGTCTTCTTCTACATATTTTTATGTGTTTAAATAAAATAAATAAATGTTAATTTTCTTTAAATGCCACTGGTTTTTGCGAGTATTTGACAAATAAACCAGCTCATGGATTATTCATCTTCATACTTATCTCAATTACTTACATAAAATGCAGATAATTCTAATTCCATGAATATTAAATCTTGATTGTTGACTCCAACCGCAAATAAACAGTTTCGCGATAATATACTACTTAAAATGATAACAGTAGTACAAGATAAATGATAAAAGTTTGTCATCAATGAGGACGATGTAATTATGACTGAGTGATCAATTAACTATTTCAGTAATACATGTTGTTAGTCGTCAGTCGATTCTCTCTTTTGTAAATTCCATATACGTCAAACATTACTCTCGATGAGAATCTAATAATTCTCACACGTGAACTGTTAATTTTTCATTGATAGTATGTCTTTAACAGACAATAAATCAAATACTATCTAGTGTATGAACAGTACGTTAGTCAAGATGCGTTTGGATCAAAGAACTTTGATAAATAAATCCCTTTATATTCATACCAACTAAATACTACAGTTTTAGAAGCGCTGTCAAGGTGAACAGTAAATCGAGGGTTGTGAGCAATTATGAAGATCAAAAACAAGGCGATATTATTTACAATATGACATATACTTGTTTATTCCTTATTAACATTGGAACAAATGGCATTACCTCGTTAATGCTTTGTAATATACAATAAAAGTTAATTAAACTATTTACAGCATGGTAACCAGTGGTTTTGTCTTCTGTTTGTTTATGGTTTAAGTTATTATTTTTACCAACAAATTTACTAGTTTATTAACATTAGTTGATTCTAATAACTAGAGGCCTATTTGAAATTTCAGTAGTAAAATGAAAATAGTATCGATATTTTCAGTAAACTCACAGTAGTTTGACTTTTTTCAGAAATGTCTATCTGTTAGAATCAATATAAATAATCAACAACAGAATAATATCAGAAGGTTTTTTATGGGTATTATAGTAATTTTTATTAGTTGAGATCATGAGTCACTTGAGATAGTAACTCATTGAAGACAATAGTAGATATGTCGTGGGTTGGCGGAAGTTAGACTTTAACACAATTGGATGCCGGATTAGTGGTCTATAGGTTAGGCGTTCACGCTCGAGATCGTTAAGTCTTGGGTTGGAATCTCGCAAGGCGGGACCGCGGATGCGCACCGCTGAGGAGTCATACAATAGAACGAAACGGCCGCTCAATGCTTCCAAGTTTTTCATGTTGGTCTAACGTCAGTTGACTCATGATCTCGACTATTAACTATAAAATAATTGTTTTAATACGCATTTCTGACAAGGGATTCATATGCCTTTTAAAATACTTTTATATTCTATAATTTATTAGTAAAAATAAAATCATAGTGGATAGAATTCTACAAATTATAAAGACTGGAGTAATGTGATTACTTGAATACTTAGTGTTTCATAATTATACTGGTTAACATAAGTACGAAGAGATCGTTGGTTTTGTCTGTGACTGTCATATTGACTAAAATAAGTTTCTATCTTGAGAAAAAGATTGTACAGTACTATTCAACCAATCTGGCTTGTTAGTTTAATTAACTATGTAATCTTTCATAGATAATTCCTAACAAAGAAAATGGTTTTCGAATACAGTAACAGTGCATTTAAGCGGCTATTTTGTAAGCATAAAATACAGTAGTTACCAGGTCAGAAAATTGACTATACTCAAATAAATCACAAAGTAGCTTAGAGGAAAATATAGATAATTTATCTCAATCTTCTGCTAACATGTTTGTTACATTATACCCATCATCACATAAAAGTTCGAACCCGCTACACATATTATCTCTTGGGTTAAGAAATCTAAAACATATAATCAACTGGTAAAAGTTCAGTTATTATGAAGTTACATTTTCAGTGAGTTCATACACTATCATAGGAAAATAGTTTCAGTCATAAGATCAATGAATAGAAAGTATAGGCTATGAGAAATCATCCATATATTTTTTTGGTAAACTCACTGTAGTGCCTGCATCTCGAGAACTAAAATAGTGAAATTACACAAAAATAGTGTATGACTGTTTATAGATAAGGGAAAATTTACAAATAAGTTTGTATATATTAAATTTATATGCAGATAAAGACAGCCAGTGTAGCAGTAGTTTCTGCATCAGTAGGCCTGAGCATACACAGGGGCAAAACAAAGGTCCTCAACTTCAAAACGGAGAACAGCCGTCCAATCACTCTTGATGGCAAAACTCCATGTACCTGGGAAGCATCATCGATGAACAAGGAGATTCAGATGCAAACGTAAAGGCGAGGATTGGCAAAGTAAGGGCCGCATTCCTACAATTGTAGACCATATGGAACTCAAAACAACTTCCAACCAATATCAAAGTGAGAATCTTCAATACGAACGTCAAAGCAGTTCTACTGTACGGAACTGAAACTTGGAGAACTACAACAACCACTGTCAAGAAGGTACAAGTATTTATAAAAGGTTGTCTACGTGAAGTACTCAACATCCATTAGCCGCAGACCATCAGCAACAGCCTACCGTGGGAGAAAATAAACCAGCTTCCATATGAAGAGGAAATTAGGAAAAGAGGTTGGAAGTAGATAGAACACTCATTACGGAAATTATCAAACTGCCTCATGAGGCGAACCCTAACATGGAAACATGAAGGCCAAAGAACATATTACGTCGGATAATAGAAGCAGATATGAAAAGGATGAATAGTAACAACTGGAAGGGGCTGGAAAGGATTTCCCAGGACAGGGTTGGATTGAGGATGCTGGTGAGCGGCCTATGATCCATCATATATATATATATATATATATATATATATATATATATATATATAGATTAGTGTAGCACAAATTCTATATGTTTCTGATCATTTCATGGAAATTAATCGTGTTTCTGTTATACAACATGGACTTTCAAATGAAGTTAACATGTTTATGATATCTTGTGATCTGATGCTTATATATCAACAATTTGCAGTGCACTAGCTTTAATGTTTATAGAGTCAAAAAATTCTACAGTGATAAAATTGGTCGGTAGTTCAATAACAATGGAGTTGAATGCAGAAACCGATTGTTGATGATTTGATTAGATTTGTGATAATGGATCAGTATTAATAATATATGTCGTATAGCTACCAGTAGAATTCAGGAAATCCAATCGGTTTTTTGGATTTGTCAACGGGTGTAAATATTTTTGTTGACGTATACACTAAAACTCGAAACCTTTAACTTTACACTTCAAAACAAAAACCCTTCACTCAATGAGCTCCTCACTTCAAGGAGTCACTAACTTTTACAACGAGTATAAAGGCATTAGAAAAAGGTTTGCAGTCTAATTTTGTACGTATAATAGGATCTGCGATTGATCAACTTTTCAAGATTGCCAATACAGTTGTATCTGGATCTATGTTCTCTACTTTTTGATTGTTAACAGTTATGCTAGTAAAAGCACAAAGTGATAACGATGATTATTGTATTCATATGACCAGTCATAAAAATACTGTAGTAACAGTCCATTTACCAAATACTGTGGTAGATAAGCAAGAAGTTATGTTACCTAAAAAAAGTTTACTTTTATAGAATTTGATAGAATTATGAAGTTTAACCACTCATAAATCCCGCCTCGCGGGATTCCTACATCTGCTCACAAGTGAGAAGCAGTGATCAGTGGAGTTCAACCGGGTCTGTTGTGAAATAGTAACTCAGTGATAACAATGGTAGATGTGTCAATCGATTTCCCGGATTAACTGAACTTGGATATTAACACCGTTGGATGCCGGAAAGTTCAGCGGTCTAGAAGTTAAGCATTGGCACGCGAGACCGATAGGTCCTGAGTTCGAGTATTGCAAGGTGTTATCGTAGATGCACACAGCTGAGGAGTCCCATAATAGGACGAAACTGCCGTCCAGTGTTTTTAGGTTTTCCATGGTGGTCTAGTTTCAATCGACTCATGATCTCAACTATTGAATTTACTACAATCTCCACAAAACCCCTTCTGATACAAATAAAATTACTTTGAATGATTTATTCATTTGTTGTTCAATTAGGCACTTACCTACACTGCACGTACATTCGGCTAAATATTTATATATTAATATCGAGAAGTCATTATTATGTTCATTAGTGACTTTGCATTCATTTTAAAAATATAGTTACATTTACACTACTTCATTTTATGATTATTATCATGTCTGTATTAGCGTTCAAGATGATATGTGTAGAATGGGATTCTTCAATATAAGTAACCCTATGGAAACTGAACTAAACAGGATGAATACACACTTTGTTCTCAACAAAGACGACTACTTCAGTGAAATATTATAATATCTCTAATACAAAGTATTTTGTGAATATTAAAATAAATTATAATAACCGACATCATAGTGTAGTGGAGACAATCGAACGTGTCAGAATACTAAATTACCGGACATTTCAGTAAAATCTGAGAACAGTGTCCTCCGTTTAAATAAAGTGATAACCTCTGTGTTGGAGAAAAGTACAAAATTGCATACTGGCATAATGTTTGCCGTCAGAAGAATTATTTTTCACACAATAATCATAGATAATTCCTTTGCTAATCAACTTCTCAGTATGGGGTATACTGCAAGTCAACACGTATATTTCAAGAAGGGATATGGTAGTATTTCTCTGAAAAGCATGTTAATTGAAAAGATGCCAAATTGAGCTAATGCATGTTTATGTAACATTTTATTTTGCTTATTTCTAGTTGACCAACTGAATGTGCGGATATTCTACCGATAAGGAAATTAGGTTATAGTGAAGTATTTACTGTTGAGTGACTTTTACTGTACACAAATCTTTTCAAAAGTATAGTCAGAAAAAATAATATACGTGACTTTAATACTTTGCTTTGTTGTTTAATATGTCTGAAGAAAAATCCTTGACTCAAATCTCGTGCTTGTTGAGGCTCGACAGAAACCCAAACTTGCAATTGTGAAGTAATTGTTCTTCTTTGCAGAGTTCGAACTTTCATTATCTACCCAGAGCATTAGTGACCATCCAGTGCTTACTAGACTGTATGTATTTCAAACGTATATAAGTTCATTTACCACCAGAATAGCCTAAGATTAGTTTCAGAACCTAAAACCGAATGACAACAGTTTGAGTCAAAATGAAAGGATCAGTTCTTTTGGGACTACGAATACTTTACTCTGACAAATTTCCAGGGTTTACCTAAAACCTCTTCCAACCACCTGACACAGCAGCACAGTGAATGTGTTGTAGCGTTATTGACGAAATTCAATGAATACTACTGTGCTAGACAAACAGTGTAATATTGCCTACTAAGTAACCGGCTAGTTTATTACTGTATATTCTGAACTAAACCACTAAAACAATTCAGTCACTAAACAAATGAATTTTAAAAGCAAATGGATAAAAAGCAGAGAACTTGCATAGCGATAGCTTTATATCAAATAAAAATTTAAAACTTCTTTGAGGAAAAGATAAATATGATATCACAACATTGAAAATAATAGAAAGTTTATGAAAAGTGGACAGTTATCCTGTTGTGTTTCACGTAAGTATTAATCGATTATTTCTGGTTAGCGTCTTTTTTAACGAGTTAGTTTTCTACTAGATGGAGTCGCTAGCCCCATGCTCGACTCTCATCCTTTGTCTGAGCTTGTGACCGGCGGTAGATCCAAAGGGGATACAGGCGGATTCTTAAGATTCTTAGAATATTTTAAATCTTATACGATTGACTACCTCAGTAAAATTGTTACTATACCAATTCTTTCCGTCTGAAGATAATTCTTTTTTCGGTAAAGTATATTCGATAGTCCATGGTGAGATGAGAGTTAATACTTTCAATTTTGATGGAAATTAATATTATTATGATGAAAAAAAATCTATTCAGATTAATTATTTTGAACAATAATTAAAGATTAAACTATTCCTCAATTAAGGGACTCATTATTTTGACTTACTTAAACACATAAAGATTGGTACAAGGAGGCAACAAATAGATATACGCACATAAATCATTCGATTTGTCTGAACGCTATGATACTACCCGGGTGCCGAAATCGAAGCAGGTGGTTTTCTTAGAGAGGCACACCCAGAGCCTTCAACCTAAACGTCTGATCCATAAGGCAGTAGAGCAACGTCTGGAGATACGGTTCCATGGTAGCCAGTGATCAACGATTAGTTCATACGTCATTTGTTCCTTGAGTATCCTGAAGCCTATGTTTCTCAATACTTTGTAATCAGGGTATTACAACCGCCCGATGTGGATTCCTCGTGTCCACCAAGTCGGTCAAAGTGTCGGACGTTCAATTTTAGCCCTCTCAATTTCGTAAACAACATACATGATGGGAGAAGACAGTGAGTAGGACTTCCCTGTCAGTGGTTGTATGCACGTGGCCGTGTGATATCATTTTGATAGGTAGAGATGACTCTCTCCACTCTCTGCTGTACCAAGGGATTTGGAGGCTAGAGACTCATTACAACGTTGACAACTACGTTGTTTGAATATCAAAAAGTGTCCTGTCAGTACATGATGTATATTTAAATATGAAAAGCGTAAACAGCTTATAGGTTTCTTACCGATATCTGAAATTTGAAAGCATAGAGCTAGAATCATAAATAATGTAACATAGAAACTCATTATACAAGAAGTAGAATATGTTGATTGCTTTCTCACTCAATATATGTATTTATAGATATGTGAAGTAAGTGAACTGATTAATGGCCAAACATTATATTCTTGCCAGATTAATGAATAAACATGAATATAAATAATAAATATGCATGATATATTTACCAAGCTTTACAAATATACAATTTTGTCCATAAATGGATGATACTACTCAAAAAAATGAAATGAAAATAACTAATTTACATACTTTGAATGAAATTAAATGAAGCCAGGACAAACATAAATGAAGAATAATATGAAGTGACACACATGTCATTGATGACCACCCAGTGATCAATCAATTGTGATTACATCTCAGTCCTATAGGAGGTTAGTCGCGGCCGGAATAGCCCAGCGGTAACGTCTCTGATTGTGAAGCTGGGTGACACGGGATTAAATCCGTCAGGAAGTACCAGTTCCCTCAAGATTACAGGTACACTTTGCTGACGAGTGCCAAGTAGCACGAAACCTGGGTTCAGAATTTCCTGTTGACTACCTCCAACCATTATCTTATTGATTAGATTTCGTTAGGTTACTGATCAATATATACTCACTTGTGACTGACTTCAAGAGGTATATCCAAGAGTTCTGGTGAGAAGCAGTAACCAATGAAGTTCAACCGGGTCTGTTGTGAGATTGCAACTCACTAATAACAATGTAGATGTGTCACTCAATTTCATGGATTGGCTTAGATTAGACATTGACACAATTGGATGCCGGCTAAGTGGTCTGGAGTTTAAGTGTTTGCGCGTAAGTACCATTCTATAAGAAAATATCTATTACTAAGTTTTAAAGTAGCTTTATCATTTGATAAAAAATAGTGTGAAAATCGTTAGTTTATCAGTTAAATGGAAAGAACTATGAACAGAGTTTACATTTTATGATTGGACTATTTGACACTCAATGTAGATGTGTTAATTCTAATTAGTGTTGAAACTTCGATTTCTCGGAATTCTCAAAATAAACTACTTGTTGAGTAATGTTGATTGATCCGAATAATGGATGCTTCTTGTGTAATATATTTTATCCTTCCCTTGATCAAAATATTTTTGGCAAACCCGAGCATTTAAGACATTTATCTTGACTGTTGTTCGCTTAAAGATCGATCACAGAATGTCACGAATATTTGTAAATAGTTGCCCTGAAGACGAGTAAGCGCTTATTCGTAATTTACGCATCTCTAGATCATAGAAAAAAGTAAGTAAGACAACTTGATTATCGATGAACGTTGACGAAATTGATTCATTTTATTTGAAATCATTCACAAAAAATACATAATGCTACTATCAGAAAGGGTGTTTTGTGGATATTATAGTAATTTAATAGTTGAGATCACGAGTCAATTGAAGATAGACCATTATAGATAACCTGAAAGCACTGGATAGCTGTTTTTTCCTATTGTGAGATTCCTCAGCTGCGCCCATTCACAATCCTGCCCAGCGGGATTCGGACTCAATGCTGAAACACTAATATTCTTGTCGAACAAATTAACTGATTTAATGTCTATGTGGTAAATGAAGTTCAAGTATGAATGAGTTCGAAAGAGTAGGTGAATTAGTCTTGTACCTAAATCATCATCTTCCATGTCCATCTTTATGTGTAACTCTATTTTCTTAACAAAATACAAATACTACGTATATATTACTATCCGATATAACCCGGTTTCTATGACTTGTTTAATTTTGAGAATAGTCAAATCCCTACGTATAAACCTAATCTAAACTATTAAATTCATATAATACTCTCTGGGTTTACCACCATAATCTGAAAGCCTCAATAGAATACATATAATCGAGTTCATTATAATGATGTGATTGTGAAATAGTAAAATCAACCATATTATTAAATTCATGTGATTTCATTTAAGGAAATGCGAGAGTAGATGATGACTTTACACACCAAAATCTGATTACAACCTCATTGTCCAATAGTCAGGTTTGTTTGACATGCACTGAAGAGAAACATTCAATCAAGATAGTATGAGAGTTAATAAAATCACTGTAAATTCTTGCCTTATACACCAAAAACTGATTACAACCTCATTGTCCAATAATCAGGTTTCTTTGATATGCACTGAAGATAAACATTCAATCAGGATAGGATGAGATCTATTAAAAACATTGTAAAGTTTTGCCTTTCTACTAAGATTTCACAATAGTCTGTTGGTTGATTTTACACCATTTACTGAAGGTCCTGCTTAACTATGTTGTTAAACGATTCGTAATAAAATTCGAGAACTGATTATGTCAGATTAACAGGACTTGTATGATATAATAATACCAATAATTCACTGTTTCGAACGAAACCAGTTAAGTATTTCAGTAATTACATCTGTTAACTGCACTACTATATACATTTAGGATAAGACTTTCGAAATACAAGTATCATGTATAGTTGTCAGTGACTACAAATCAGTATAACAAATCAGACTGAATTGATGCAGAAAGCTATGAGATCCCTTTGTATAACTCACACAATATATTAGTCCGAAAATACGTTTTTGTTATGAGCTTATGTACAACGTGCAAACGGTTACTGACAGCAACGTCTATTGACACTCCTGTTTTTCGTTTCAACATTGCTAATATGAAGTCAGCAATATTAAAAAATATTGAGAGCTGATTTATCTATCTGTTCAGTTATCTAAAGTGATTATTAAACGAAAAGTGTAATAATCGAGTGTTAATATTCAGTTACCATCAATGATTCTGAGTACAACCGGTTGAACAAAAGATCGAGTCTCAGTTAATCGATCAAAAATAACTAAGAACTTTACAAATGTGGATTACTAGCGCTCCAACTAAATTTTAGTATTAAAGTGTATTTTTACTTTCATGTATTTGCCCCTTACGGCCAAACAGGTTGGTGAAGCCTATTAGGACCGTCTGTAGAGAAACAGGCCACATCGAAGCACGGCACAACTACCGGGGCTAGAATAGTTGTTTCTGCAATCCTTTGGAGTTTTCCCAATGACGAGCAAATCTATATGACACATGCACCAATTTCGAAAATGATTTGTCGTTTTCCATTCCAAATGTAATTGTGCTGTTTCTCTGTGGGTTTCGTAATCGATAGGTGAGTATCGGTAAGAGTGGGTGATTAACCTGATCTCCACCACCCAGGTTACCGATCACGTTAGATCGTGATTCATTCGTCCCACTATCCAGGAGGCACGACGCGGACGTGTGAGTTGAATTTCGCCTCCCTTTCATGTATTTAATTTCAGCTATAAATTTCTACCATCCATAAAGTGTAAATTTACTGAACAAATGAAATAAATCAATTATCCTATCCTAGATTTATGATGGTTAAAGTACATTGTTCAACTATCAGCAATTTGCAGCCCAGTTTGCTCTAGATATATAGATATATTACCGAGTGAATTTAACTGGACTATATAACATCAAACTCAATTACACAGAGATTTTAGTTTGAATTAAACATACTACTGAAAAGTATTGTAAGTGGACTTCATTTTCTTACATTTTGTAAGTTAGTTAATATTAATTAAATGCAATGGTTGAATCCGTTTGAAAACATTTATAATCGGCTAAGCAGATATATTAAATACTCTTTTCAAAGAATTTCCTGACAGATTTGAACAACCATCAGTTATAATGCTTATCACCATTAATGTTTTATATGTTATCTGTATTGCATCACATATGTTCGTATGTTAGTGAACAAGTAATCCATTCTTCCTACACAGTTACTACACATCGAACCACCAAATATTTACTGATACCACTGTTTGTATTACCTAATTGACAGTGATAATTTTCACAAAATGCCTCAATACAAAGTTTTGCTCTTTAATCTATTTTTATTAAATGAAAATGATATACAGTTGATTGATTCTATTTATCACAAAGTCCATGAACAACTTAGCAACTGTATATGGTCTTAAACCATAACATTAATAAATGTGCTCCATAAATCAAAATTCATTTTAATCAAAGTCACGTACTAAAATTAAAGTTATCAAACACTTTGTGAGAATATGAGACATAAGTAAAGGGAGAAATGCAGTAATAATAAGGATAAAAATTAAGGCCAAGTTAACGATGACAATAGGATGTACTTCTTTTGGACGCATAGTTCTTGCTCGAACTCATGGATAGTTACAGCATCGACTATTTTTAGGAGTTGAATACGAAGAAATCTAGATAGATTTGGATGAGTTGTATGTACAAACCTAAAATCAAAATGTGAATCAATAGAAAGATTACAGTCGATTAGATGTTCAAATATGGAACTCCTAATAGCTTTCCTCTTACCCATGCAGAACCACAATGTACCACAATGTACAACGTTGCACAATTTTATATTCACTTGATATTATTTGATTTGTATCTTCCCATTGGGGTTTAAGACTGCAATTGATCAGTCTGTTATTGGCATATGGGCACACTGTGTTTGCCTCGATATTGCTCTAATTCACAAACTTTTTGTAAGCAATGAGTGAACATCAACTCTGAGATTAAGGGGACATCCAGCTGACGAGTCCCCAATAGGACGGAACGCGCGTCCTGGATTCCACTGCTAGCCACTATCCAAGATGTGATTGGAATAATTTACATGGCATCGAGGAAGCATAAAGTCAAGTTAGTGACTTTTGAAATGTACTACACTAGTTTTTATTATGAATTTACTAATCCATCTTTCACATTGACAATAGATTATAACGATTACTAGACTTTTGTTTCTTCTTTGGTCAAGCCAGATGTTACAGTATAAACATGTTCACTTCCAACATCAGCAGTTGTGAAACGAGTGACAGAGCAGGTACATACGTGATATTCGAAATAGCGATAGAAGTATTCGTATTTTGTCTTTCTCAACCACCAACTGCCTTGATGAGCCATGTTTTGTGTTGCAGGAGTAGGCTGAAAGAAAGCTAGAGACGGTCAGAACAAAACATGGCACAAATCC